GAATTAAAAGAGGGGAAAACCCAGCTGGATGGGCGGGGTCTAACTAAATTACTATTACGGTGTTTTTCACTCTATAGGGCTCACCTGACCATAGGGCGCACCTAGTTTTCAGAGGGGGAAATCAAGGGGGAAAATATGACACCCCCCCATCTCTGGGAGCAGCCAAGTTACAGGGAACCAGGCAGAGGCCTTCTCAGTGGTGGCGCCTTCTTCATGGTGATCCACTACTGCTTTAAGGGAGGTCTTGGAATAAGTAGATTTGTTGCTGATCCAAAACACCCACCCACCCCACTCACACATGAAAACAAAGACCACCACAGCCAACTACAAATGAATAACCACACCCTAGGCCACCCGACCCCACCCATCTTTCCCCCTCCACCTCTTTCCCCTTTCCTTCCCAATGTCTCAACAAATGAAAGTGATTTGTAAAAATGTTACATGGGGGGAAACATGAGAGAGAGACATTGCACACTTTTGTAAATCAACAAAATCTTTAATGAATAAATAAATACAAAAAAAATCATAAAAAGAGGCCTCCTCACCTGAAGTACATCAAAGCCCACCTGAAGTCCCAAAATCCCTGAAGTACTGATCCACGCAGATCTATGTGTGTATGGAGAGATCTGCGTGGATCTGCATCTGATAGTTTACGACTCCCTGTTCTAGGGAATCACATGTATAATCGTATGTTTGGGGACATCAGGTGGCCTTTGATGTCCTTCAGGTAACCTTTGGGTGTAGGGCTTTCCTCCATCTCCACTGCGCAGGATTCCTCTGGAATGACAAGATCACTCGAACAGCTTTCCTCCATCTCAACTATGCAGGATTCCTCGGGAATGACAAGATCACTTGCACAGCTTTCCTCCATCTCAACTGTGCAGGATTCCTCTGGAATGACAAGACCACTTGCACAGCTTTCCTCCATTTCAACTATGCAGGATTCCTTTCGAATGACAAGATCACTTGCACAGCTTTCCTCAATCTCAACTGTGCAGGATTCCTCTGGAATGACAAGATCACTTGCACAGCCTTCCTCCACCTCAACTGCGCAGGATTTGACAAGATCTTCCGCATGGGTTTCCTCCATCTCCACTGCGGAGGATTTCTCTTGAATTACCAGGTCTAGCAGAGAACCACACTTTGAACAAATAGTTAGACTCTCGCTTTTCACCGCACTTCCTGGGGTAATCACCACTATAGTTTCTATTTGAGATGTATCTGTTGCGGTGGTCCTGGTGCAACATCTCTCCATCCCAACAAATGCTGCACTCAGCAGCTGGAAACCTGCAGCGATATAGCCTAGATAAATAGAAGGCCCAATATGCTGCTCGCTGGGAATTTGAGGCAATTCAAAAGTTTCAGGGAAGTCAATTCCCCCATTTTGTAAGACAGCAGACATGTTCCATATCACGGAAATCAGGATGAGTATCCCTGTGGGTAAGTTCAGCAGAGCTCCAAGCCCAAAACGGTTGACGAGAAAAATCTTATGTTTTCTGGCCGTCCAACCACATTTGCAGAGGGCAAATATGCCAATCCAAGGGCCCGCTGAATGGTCATAATGGCAGCTAAGGCCATTAGGTCCTGACATTAAAAATTTCCCTCGGAGGTTTGGATGTTGTTCATGGAGCTCTTCACAATGGTAATAATAGTTTCCCGTCGTTCGAGAGGGTCTTTCAAAAAACAGACCTTCCAGATTCCGATCCAGATGTTTCCAGATCCAATTCCCTTTATGTTTCTACACGCCACACTCGCCAGTTGACAATGGCTATTGAGGCAATGCACGTCATCCAGGCCATAATATCCATCAGGAATGCACACAATGGGAAGCAGGGCACTAATCTCAGCCACCTGACTACCAGGGAGCCTTCTTTCACCCGCAGGGGGGTTTGGAGAGGAGGGAGCAGGGGAGACCTTGGAAGACATCCTGGAAACAAAAGAGAAGACAAGATGCAGTGAGAGAGGGAATAACAAGCAGGTCTAGTCATTGAAGGACATCCTTCCATGCGCAGAAAGAAGCAGCAAAAGAAAGAGTTCCCCTGTTCTCTCCCCCCCCCCCCCCGGTTAGGTATAGACATCTGATCCACACATACTTTCTTCCAGCAAACTGCTACTGATTTAATATACTCTTGCACTGTTGCTGTGAAAATGGCCAGAACCTCAGCAACCTGTTGTGAATGATGGGAGCCGCTCATGTTTCGCTGTCCTGCTATCTGCTACTGCAGCTATCCTGCTCCACCGAGCATAAACTCAGCTATGGCATAGTGAGGAATGTTTAATCCATAAACTTACGTGAAATGCCTTCCTCAGCTAGAGTCTAGCGTGCCAGGAACAGAGCAGCTATTTGCTAGGTGCTCCTGAGCCTCAAGAAGACTGAGCTGTTGGCCACTGAGCTGACGTTCGCCTGAGCAGCCGGCCAGCCACAGCAGCAACTGCTCTGCAGAATTCTTAAGTCAGTTACAGGCCAGTTAGAATCCTGACAACACCACAAATCATAACTCCAAGGTACTGGTCATTGGAACATCAGGAAAGTGGAAAATGGGAGGGAACTCAGTTCCCTTCTTTCCCAATGCAGAGTGGTCTATTCCAGGACACTGTGCAGTTAAAACACGTTCTTCCTGAAGTCAGATTCAGAGCAGTTCCAGCAGTAAAAATGGTGATGTGTGTATCTCAGTACAGATTTGTTTGATGGTCCTGAATGCATTTCATAAAGGATCTCCATGTACAAGAAAGGCTAATAGCATGAGGCCCTGAACAATAAGAATTGCCTTGGCAAAATTATTGAAGACTCCTTACAAACCTATCCTTCTTCCCCATCCCATCCTGTTTGGACATTATAGTAAGGGAGAAGATCTTAGCTCTTTTCCTTTGCACTGGGATTACATGAAATTTGTGCCATGGGACCCCATCACTCACACCAATACGGGCAACATCATTTTCAGAACCTAGGTGCCCATGATTTAAAATCGCTTTCCTAAGACACTTCAGTCAAAATATTTGTGTTGCTTCCTTCCTGTTCCTTTCTGTGTTGATGCTCCGAATGTGAGCTGCTCAGCTGCATGCAGTTTCCACTGAAGTGTGTGTGTGTGTGTGATTAACATTCGGCCAAGCAATGGGCCTAAATCCATCTATTTCACCTGAAATAACTTTGGGAGCCAGCCTTTAAAAATCTAAAGTAGATATCAAATTCAGAGGAATTAAAAGCTGTCATCTTTTTGACTATTTGAAACATCTTAGAACATACACCAATGTTAATGTTTGAAGGAAGGCAGCAAATGGAGCATTGGAGCCATCCATTCATTTCAGGAGTTGTGACCATTGATAAGATGAAGCACTTTCACATCGCATGGCAGTGTGCAGTGCTTTTAAAAAGGTAAAGGTAAAGGACCCCTGACAGTTAAGTCCAGTCACAGCTCTGGGGTTGCGCCACTCATTGGCTTTACTGGCCGAGGGAGCTGACGTTGGTCCACAGACAATTTTTCCGGGTCAATCAATCAAACCTTTACTGCATTAGCATACAGCCATAGCAGGATAAGACAAAAATGCTAGAGACAAGCAACCAAACAAAATTCAAAGCGATAATACTGGCGTGATGACATTGAAAATTACCCTAAGACAATAATGTAAAAATTTAGTTGCCAACGCCAGGAGTCTAAAATGGAGCTGTATAAAAGCATATATTGGCCCAAAATAGGCTCGGCACATTAGGTTAAAAGGTTATAAAAGAATTAAAACAGGTCCAGGTCTAGAACACACTACCCAGTCAGAGAAGCCCTGAGTTTCCAAGCCTGCACTATAAAGATTGCCACCCCACGTGTAATTTGGGGATTTGCGTCCACAAGAAGCGATTTCAAACAGTCTTCCTTAGATGTGATGGTGGACGGGATCAAGAGGAGGAACTTAGTTCTTATTAGCTCATATATAGGGCAGTAGAAAAAGAAATGTATGAAGTCCTCTACTTCATTCATTGTGCATGGGCATAGACGCTGAGTAATAGGGGTCTTAGTGTAAATCCCCTGCAAGAAGGCCGTGGGTATAGAATGGAAACGGGCCATGGTAAACGCTCTTCTCAAATTGGGCTCCGTCAGGTCTATCAAGTAGTTGGCAAGTGAGCATATCCGTCAGGTCGTGGCGGATATGCTCCTGGAGACACCTAGCTTGGTTGTCCTGGGGGATTTTAACATCCATGTCGACACGACCTTACAAGGGGCCGCTCGGGACTTCGTGGAAAGCATGGCCTCCATGGGGCTGTCCCTGAATAAGTTTGGCCCAACTCATAGCCATGGACATGCCTTAGACTTGGTGTTCACCTCTATGGATGTTGGTGATCTGACACTAACTAAAAGCGAAACAAAAGAAGTGCCATGGTCAGATCACTTCCTGGTGCAACTGGACTTCTCCGCAACCCTTCCCCTCTGTAGGGAGGTGGGACCGATTCGGATGGTCCGCCCCCGCCACTTAATGGATCCAATTGGCTTCCAGAGAGTGGTAGGGGATGCTTTATCCCAAGTTGATGGCCTTTCAGCTGATTCCCTGGTGGCACGCTGGAATGCGGAGTTAACCAGGGCTATTGACTGTCTGGCTCCGAAGCGCCCTCTCCGATTGCATGGAGCCCGGACAGCCCTGTGGTTTTCCCCGGAGCTGAGGGTGATGAAACAATCGTTGAGACGGCTAGAGCGCCGGTGGCGGAAAACTCATTCTGAATCAGACCGGACACGGGTTAGAGCTCAATGTCGAGCCTACCAAGTGGCAATGACGACGGCGAAGAGGGCCTTCTTCGCCGCCTCCATTGCATCTGCAGAAAACAGCAGCAGGAGACTTTTTCAGGTGGTTCGCAATCTATCGGAACCACCTGTACCACCGGGGCCTGGTAGGGACCCCAAGATCTCCTGCAATGCTTTTGCAAAGTTTTTTGCAGATAAAATCGCTCAGATTCAGAAGGAGGTAGACTCCACCGTGGGAGCAGGGCCAGGGCGGGAGAGTGCTAGAGTTCTGTCTGGTCCTGTTACATGGGATCAATTCCAGTCTGTTACCTCCGAGGATGTGGACAGGCTGCTTGGAAAAGTGAAACCGACCACCTGTCTCCTTGATCCTTGCCCATCCTGGCTGATAAAAGCGAGCCGGGAAGGGCTGGGCGATGGGCTCTGCGGGGTGGTGAATGCTTCCCTCTGTGAGGGAGCCTTCCCCAGACCCGCTGAAAGAGGCGGTCATTAAACCGCTTCTTAAAAAAACATCTTTAGACCCGGCCAATTTGGCCACCTATCGCCCAGTCTCAAATCTGCCATTCTTGGGCAAGGTGATTGAGCGGGTGGTTGCTGAACAACTCCAAGCACGCCTGGAGCAAACGGACCATTTTGATCCCTTCCAATCGGGATTCAGGTCTCACCATGGGATTGAAACTGCCTTGGTCGCGCTGGTTGATGATCTCCGGCGGGCTAGGGACAAAGGTGAGAGCTGTTTCCTAGTTCTGCTGGATCTCTCAGCGGCCTTTGACACCATCGACCATAACATCCTTCTGGACCGTCTAGAGGGGCTGGGAGCTGGGGGCACTGTCATACAGTGGTTCCGCTCCTTCCTCCTGGGCCGTGTCCAGAAAGTGGTGGTGGGGGATGAGTGTTCAGACCCCTGGGCTCTCACTTGTGGGGTGCCTCAGGGTTCTGTCCTCTCCCCCATGCTTTTTAATATCTATATGAAGCCGCTGGGAGAGATCATCAGGGGGTTTGGACTGGGTGTTCATCAGTATGCAGATGACACCCAGCTCTACCTCTCCTTTAAATCAGAACCAGTGAAGGCGGTGAAGGTCCTGTGTGAGTGCCTGGAGGCGGTTGGAGGATGGATGGCGGCTAACAGACTGAGGTTGAATCCTGACAAGACAGAAGTACTGTTTTTGGGGGACAGGGAGCGGGTTGGTGTGGGGGATTCCCTGGTCTTGAATGGGGTAACTGTGCCCCTAAAGGACCAGGTGCGTAGCCTGGGAGTCATTTTGGACTCACAGCTGTCGATGGAGGCGCAGGTTAACTCTGTGTCCAGGGCAGCTGTCTACCAGCTCCACCTGGTACGCAGGCTAAGACCCTACCTGCCCGCGAACTGTCTCGCCAGAGTGGTGCATGCTCTAGTTATCTCACGCTTGGACTACTGCAACGCGCTCTACGTGGGGCTACCTTTGAAGGTGACCCGGAAACTGCAATTAATCCAGAATGCGGCAGCTAGACTGGTGACTGGGAGTGGCTGCCGGGACCATATAACACCGGTTCTGAGAGACCTGCATAGGCTCCCAGTACGTTTCCGAGCACGATTCAAAGTGTTGGTGCTGACCTTTAAAGCCCTAAACGGCCTCGGTCCTGTATACCTGAAGGAGCGTCTCCACCCCCATCATTCAGCCCGGACACGGAGATCCAGCGCCGAGGGCCTTCTGGCAGTTCCCTCATTGCGAGAAGTGAGGCTACAGGGAACCAGACAGAGGGCCTTCTCGGTAGTGGCGCCCGCCCTGTGGAACGCCCTCCCATTAGATGTCAAAGAGATAAATAATTACCTGATATTCAGAAGACATCTTAAGGCAGCCCTGTTCAGGGAAGTTTTTAATATGTAACGCTGTACTGTTTTTAACACTGATTGGGAGCCGCCCAGAGTGGCTGGGGAAACTCAGCCAGATGGGCGGGGTATAAATAATAAATTATTATTATTATTATTATTATTATTATTATTATTATTATTATTATTATTATCTTACCACTTTCACTTTAGGGAGCCACGTGGAGAGGCGAGCTGAGGTGGACTGTGCCCGGTCCATGGCCTCGTCTCTTGTAAGAATCCAGGCCCGGATTTTATGTTGGTCCCAAGATGACAGCGTGTCAGGATCTGGGAGGGAGTAGCGTGCAGTAATAGTCTCCATGGCCTTGGACCATTTGTTGCTATAAGAACAAGTTAAAAAGGCTTGTCTGGCTAGTAGGGAACCTGGGGCTTTAATTAATTTACAATAAAAACTAATAATTCTAATGTGGGCTCTCGCAACAATGGAGGGGAGGCCCAGTTCTGTTCTTAACTGTGCAGCAACCGAGCCCTTGGGGAGACCCAGTGACTTTCGTGCAAAAAGTTTTGTAGGATCTCGAGCCGTTGTAGTGTTTTTAAATTCCACCCCCAGATTTCAACCCCATACAGTAACATCGGGAGGACTTTACTGATAAATGCTTTTCTGATTGGTGGAACCAACTGGCTGCCTTTTGCATAGAAGAATTTCTCCAGGGCAGCCAGGATTTTTTCCAGGTCTTGTGGCCAGCAAGACTAAGCCGCTTCTGGCGAAACCAGAGCAGCGCACAGAAACGCCATTTACCGTCCCGCTGGAGCGGTACCTATTTATCTACTTGCACTTTGACGTGGTTTGGAACTGCTAGGTTGGCAGGAGCAGGGACCGAGCAACGGGAGCTCACCCCGTCAAATACTCAAGTCCAGTTCTGTATCTGCATGACATCCTCCGCACCCAAATGCTCTCCCGTTCTGTTTCCCCCACTTAATCCGGATACACCATCTCCATTGAAAACTCTGCTCAGTGACACCCATCCAAGAGGAAAAGTGCTGACCGTCTTCCTGCAGATACACTTCCGCGCAGGGGTTTGGCCGACAAGTTCTTCCCGAGTGGGGGGGTGTTTTCAGGGGCTCTTTGCTTTTCCCTGCCTCCCCTTTCATCCTCACCTGAGGAGATCTTGGCCATTCTCTTGACAGGGACCTCCCTTCTCAGGCCGGATTTCTGTTTTCCTTCATTCCTCCTTCTCCCAGTCTGGTTCCCTGAGAAAATAAGAGAGAGGAGGTTTCATGCAAGTCAAGGTGTGCAATGGATCTTCAGGGCATTTGGAAGGAAGAAAAGGTCGAGGAACAAGCGACGCAGCAGCCCCCCCAAGCGGAAAAACACATTTGAACATATCGCTCATGAGATCCCCCCCCCCCTTTTAGGATATATATGCAGAAAATCCTGTGCTCCTATTAATATACAAAGTGGGGTATTTCATATGATAAGAACAGAGGAAGCTGCCTTAGACGGAGCCAGACCAATTTTGGGAAAGTGCTACATGGGCCAGTCCACCAACTGGCTACCAATGAGAACCTAGCAAAACACAAAATGGCTGCCATATGGTGTGGTATGAAATAAAATTGCCTGGCTGTGGGGCGTGAAGGCCGCTCCCACAAGGCCCTTTCCACCTGGCCTAGGAGGGCGAGGCCCACTCTCACCAGCCCCACTGAAGAGGCTCCTCATGAGGCTGGAGGAACACCACCCCACTGTGAGGCGTGAAGGC